TTTTTTTTTTTTTTTTTTTAATTATACCAACAGACAAACAAGAGTGAATTAGAACTTCTCGGAAACTTCTTTGCTGTAGCCTCTGTAAATCTTGATTGGTACCTGGTCATTCTTGGCACAACCGTTCTCAGGAGGGACGCTGCATACTAAGAATGTTTGTTGGCCGGCCCCATGTAAGCACAAGGTGACTTGTGCCCATTACGGCCAACGCCCTTGGAGAGTGAATTGAAGAACGGATACCACATTCTCCAGTGCCAAATCCAGATCTCCATGACATACACTAACACTGGAACTGGCCTCTGAGACTCAGGTGACTGGGTTTTTTCAAATTTTTAAGTCTGGAGAACTTCCAGGGGTCTGGAAGGAAAGGGAAGTGGCGGAGTCCAACCTTCTACCTTTGAAACAAGCAACACTTCTCCCTGCTTCCCATACTTCTTCCTAAACAACCAATAGGCTCTTAATACTACGCAGCTATAAAGAAGGAGCTCGTACCCTTTGGGACAGTATAGAATGACCTGGAGAATATTATGCTAAGTGAAATAAGCCAGGCAGAGAAAGACAAGTATCACATGATCTCACTCATATGTGGAATCTAATGAACAAAATAGACTCATGAACAGAATAGATACAGAGACACAGAAGCATGGAACAGACTGAGGAATCTCAGGGGTAAGGCGTGAGTGGGTGGGTGGGTGAGATTAACCAGAGAATTTGTATGCATATGTGCGTAACCCATGGACACAGACAATAGTGTGGTGAGGGCCCGGGGGGAGGAGTGAGTGGGGAATGGGAGGGGTTAATGGGGGGGAAAGAGGGACATCTGTAATATTTTCAACAATAAAGATAAATTAAAAAAAAAAAATGCACAAAACCACTGTGTAACTTTATCAGTCAACAGAGGGCCCTGCAGAATTGACTAATGTATAGAGAATGCTGTGGGGGGCTATTGCCTACATCCCTAGTATCTTACAATCATCTGCCTACATAATCCAACTGTGTTCCTATTTCATTTTATTTTTATTCTTCTAGGTTTTTCCCCCTAAGTATACGAGCATGCATCAATTTTAAAAATACAGTGTGGTAACAATGTATATATGCACCAATGAACATCCCTGCATATATTACTGATTTTATGCTTAGAACAAAATATTTGACATTAATTTTTAGGCCAAAAGGTTTGTGAATTTTTAAAGTTCTTAATACCTACTAACAAAACCGCCCTCCAGAGCTACTGTAGCAATTAATACTCCTACTAGCAGAATACTGTAGTGCTTGTTTTTTTCCCCACCCTTAAACTCTGAGTATGTTATATTTTAGTAACTGCAAATATTTAAGTAGGTGAAGGTGGAATTTTGCTCCTTTATTTCTGTCTTTTGTGAACTGCCTGATAATAATTTTCCCGTTTTTCTACCATGGGAGGGGAATTCAACTTTTTCCCTTTGATTTGTAAGAATTTTAAAATATATTATAGGTATTATGCATTTGCCATGAATATGGTCCTATGTTTTTTAAAAAAAATGAGTTCAACTGTACAGTAATATAGGCACTTAGCCCAATATACAATGCCACACAAAAACTATTATATTAAATCAGTTAAGTAAAAAGACTCTGTAATTAAATATAAGGAATCACTTATGTGACTCCTACATTTATGTAACTATAATAATAAGAAAAATACAAACAATTGCCTGACTCATTATAAAATAGTTTCTAATTACTGTGACTCTCACGTAAAAATTCCAATAGATTATATTCTGAAGAGCGTACATTTTACTGTTTAGGGCTTTCCTGGCTCTCCATAATAATAATTTTTTTAAAAAACCACATTGTGAGGCTCCTGGTCCTAGGTTTCTTTCTTTATGTTACACAGAGGTGTTTTATACCAGAGGTTTCTTAGGTGCCTTCCAGTTCTAACATTCTAAAGTCTATGAGAAGGCATCACACTACTATGGCTAATATGCTGAAAGAGCCTGACCAATATTAAGTTTCAAAGGCAAGAAATAGCCCCAGCTATGGCCCATAGTTCATATTACACGAAATGGCTATGAGGCTTAAAATACTGATCTGATAGTAGGTTGGCTAACTTAGAAATGGTATGATCCTGAGACACCGGCTGATATGGAATTCCACTATGTGAATATATACAATAGTTAAGAGGTGACACTAAAAGTTCTGATAGGACTTGCTGGCAGTTCAAGGAGAGATTGCAGTAGTTATCAAGGTAAACCCAAGTGCAAGCTTACCTGGAATATTACCACGCGGAATTTGTTTTTCTTCATTATTTCCTCTTGCTTGGTTTCAACTTTCCTCACGTGAACCTGTTGCTTCTCCACCCGGGCCTTCACGTCTTTGATGTGAGCGCTGACTTTTCGGGTTTTCTCAAACAACTTGTTAATGACATGGCCCGTGTTGCTGTGGGACTGGGAAAGCTTCAGCAGGTCAATCTGGACAGATTTGACAGCATTTCCCATGTCCCTGTGCCTCTCTTCTATTCTCTTCTGGCTGGCCTGCACTCTGTCCACGATGGTGGCCACCTTGTCCAGCACGGTCACAATGGTGAGAGCGGCATCTTGGTCTTCATCTTCTGTCACACCTGACAGGCGGTTCTGGTGGGTCTTACCAGCATTCGAAGCAGACCCATTATGTTCCATTTTGTTTATTTCTCAGCTAAAGATGGCCTCCCACAATCAATGCTGGCTCTTAGAGAAAACAGTTAGCTTCATAACAGGCAGCGGGGTTGTTTAAAGGGTTGGAAGCCCCACCCCTGGAGACTGGTCAAGTATTTATAACTACAAATACCCATACGTGACTGTTCTGCAATATGAGCCCTTGCAAAGCACTGGGGACTGTTCCAAACATGCTTACTGACTGACGAAGGGACTCAAATAAGACTGTGTGGAGAGGAGAGGAAGCTTTTCTCAAAACAGTTCACTGAAGCCACCATGTCGCTTATATTAAGCCCAGAAGCCAAATGACCAAAAAAGCAAACTCTGAATTAGTCAGGTGAGGATTTTTTGCCTTTAACTAATTTCCAGTAGCATTTGTAAAAGCAAAGAAGAATTCTGAGCTGAAATTTACTTTTTCTATTAATTTCACATGTTAATTGCAACGACATAGCAATATCAAAGAATGTAATAAATAAACACACCAAAGCAAAGGCCATATAGTGAAAACATTATATTATAACATGCTTTTCCAAATCAAATATTAAAATTAATATTCAATTTTGAACATATTCTTAAGTTCTACATGCATACTTCTGAGTATCTAAACTACACATTAAACAGCTGAATACATTCTACTCACACTTCAGATCTTGAAACACCAACAATCTATTAATATAGCTATTACTACAGGACAAATTTGGATAGAGGTCTTAGGTGATTTTTAAGCTCACTTTAAGAGCACCAATTATTTTTGCATTTTATTCACAAACACGGATACAATTTCTTTATGTTAAAACAAATATTTTCTTTAAAAATTAATGTGTATTAAAGTAGTTTAACTGAGAGAGTAGGCTTTATTCCAATCTGTTTGTTAAACAGACTATTTTCACAATATCTAAATCTACTTTCCAGTGATCTGTTCCATCATTGCTACCAGATACTTTTTTGAATTATCAGAATTACTTTTTCAAAGAGAGGCATTAATCAAATTCCAGTCCATACATCTCATAAATATTTTACACCTAACACACACATCTTTACAGTTCATGCGATAGGCAGTGTCTAAAAAAATCAGTTACTAAATCTCAAAACATTTAAATGTCTATTTAAACACAGTGTCTTCTAAAACTTTTTTTTGTAAGAAAAGTAATCTGTAAACATCTTTACCTTTAGTTCATGCTTAGCCATTTGCTGTGGTCAGGAAGAAGTGGGTATGACTTTACAACCATTTGTGAAGTGGTCCACCTTTGCAAAAATATTACATTCCATGGGTAAAGAACAAGTCTTAGAATTACCATGTGGTACAAATTTATGAAATCAATTTTTGTATTTAAAAACATAAAACAAACACTACTAAACAGTCCAAAACTGTTGTAGCTGAATATTCTAAGTACGAGCCAACTGTACTACACTAAAAAATGTCCAAAAATAAGGCCTCTGAAATAAATATTTCCATTCTTTAAAAAAAGACATAATAAATGTACATCACATGGTCAGTGTACATATAAAAGTCATCATCTTAAACCATCCTGGATGACGTATCTGAAGTAAAATGACCTAGGTTTTGCTTCTGTCGTCGTCCTCTGTTGTTTTTAGGGCATTTTCTGTTGAGTTAAAAAAGAAAGAAAGAAAAATGTCATTTTGTTTAGGATATTTCAAATGTTTCCAAAGTAATGCACATAAAACTGTATTGCATGCCATCATATGGAAGGGATAGAAGGGAAACAGGACACTATTTGATGCAAGACAAGGTAAGGACCAATGTGTCAGACGACTATCTTCCTGACAAAAATGGAAGATGGTACATGATGCCAGTACAGACACAAACAAAATTCACTTCCAGGGTCTCTACTGCTCACTTGCATCCCCAAGAGCAATCCTCACCCTTCCTCTCACCCAGCAAACCCCCAGCTACAGTGACTAATAACATGTAAACCTGGGACAGTAAAAAGGATCCTGGCCTACATACTTTCCCTGAACACTGACACCCCCAAGATGATAAGAATAGCTTAGATGAACAGAGAAATCAGGAAGAAGTATGCTTACTTAACCTCTGACAGGAACACATAGGAAATGCCTAGAGATTTTAGGCAATGACTCGAAGTCGTTCCACACCCTGCTTGGGCAAACCACAGAACCCAATAAAGAACAGTCGTGCTGGGGATAAGGGATATTCCTGGACTCCGCTCTCATTTTGCCATACATGTTCCCCACAGTGGTGTAAATCTCACTGTGTTGTAACTGTGTTTGTGCCTGTCCATAGGATGAAAACATATGAGCTCTTATCATGTGTACAAAAAGTACTGCGCTGTGCAATGCGGATTAAAGGGACTGGGATGGATGCTGGTAATGCTGAGCTTGGGCTCTGCTAAAAACTAGCTGTGCAACCTTTTTTTCCTATATGTAAAATTTTAAGAGTTGGACTAACCTCTAAAATCTGTCAGCAAGAAATTCATAATCTAGCCCTGGCCTGTGGCTCAGTTGGTTGGAACGTCATTCCCCGACACCAAAAGGCTACAGGTTCAATTCCCGGTCAGGGTATATACGGAGGCAACCGATCAATGTTTTTCACATTAAAAGAAAGAAATTTATAATCTAATGGAAAGTCTTGTAATAAGGAGAACTCCTAAATTTCCATGTTTTTAGTCAATTTCAAAGAGCACTGCTTTGCCTTGATTCAAAAGCCTTGGTGGTAACACTTCCATTTTATATGTGGTTTTTCACAAATTGTACCTCACTAATCCTCAAAAAAACACTATGAGATAGTGCTGGAATCATCTCTATTTCATAAATAGGGACATTGGTTAAGAAGCAAGCAACCCCTCTTGTAACTGTCACTAATTCACCACGACCTTGGAAAAGTTCTAACTTCCTAAGGCCACGGTTTTTTCATCTATAAATTAGGAGGTTTGTCAAGGGTGATGTCCAAGGACCCTGCCAACCTGTCCTTCTACGAGTCCAAAAACAAGAAAAATGATTCCAAGCAGAAAAGAAAAAAGTGTTACTCATGCAGTCTTGATAAGTGGGTCAGTGGGAACACCCTATTAGAGGAAGATTCCTCGCATGTAACAGCCACCCTGGGAAAAGTGAACAGCTGTCCCGTAATGGACTGCGTGGGAGAGGCAGGCCTTAAAAATTCAAAGGAGACAAGTCCAAGTAATTATAACTATAATATTCTAAATCCAAAAGAGCAAGACATTCAAGGAGAGAAAATACCACAATAAAAAGACAGGCCTCAAGGACAGATCTATGCTATATTCAATGACATGACCCTTGGGTTATGAAGACCATGGGCGGTAAAGATACAGCAGTAACACAGTTAAAAATATACTGCGATGTTTCAGTGTCTGTGAAGGCAGCAAAGGGTCTGGGGTATCAAATGGAGGGTATAACTTGAAAACTACCCGCTGGATAATATAGTAGCTGAGGATCACAGCACACTGAGAACAGGAGCACAGAGCTGGATAATAGTCTGGATTAGGATCTGTACAAGGACTTCACTATCTCAATGATCTTGGGCAAGGTACTTCTCATCCCAGGGCTGTAGTTTTCTCATTTCTCTAGAATGAAGGGGTTGAACTCAAGAGTTGCTTCCCACTGACTCTAATATCCTTTGATCTTCTTAAAGATGGCACTATCACTGGGCTTCAAAATCTTCCCTTACCTTTACCTTACTTCTTTCTTTCACCTCCAAAATCACTTACTACCCCAAGTCCTAAATGGTCGCCCCCGACCTCACATTTTCTCTCCTCCAATACAATGAATTTTGCAAATGACACTCAAATTAATGCTCTGAAAAAATGTTTTATACCAAATCCTTCCCGTTCAAAACCCTGAACTGCTACAGTCAAGTTGGAACCTTGCTTCCATGCGATAGTCACATTTGCCAAATATATATCCCCAGATGACCCAACATGGACCCTCCTCTGGATTGTTCAGTGGAAAGAGGAATGGTCGGGGACTCAGGCAGCACTCCATCCAGTCCAGGCCCCTCCACCTACCAGTCTGGGCGACCATAGGCAAACAAACACCTTAACTTCTGAGCCTATATAATAAATGGCCACAGGCAGGCCTGTTGTTGCACTTTTTTTTTTTTTCCTATCTTCTCTTTCTGCTGTCATTACTTTTTATATCATTATGTCCCTATTTTAATCTACTGCCCAATTTTATACTCAGTCGTCTTACCTAAGGGCAGATCATCTGTTCTATAAAGTCCACTGACTTTAGTGCCCGAATTTTATGAAAAATATGTTACTCAGAGAACACTTTTTTTTATTATCATTTCTAGATTTATCATTCCAGCTCCAGATGGCTGAGAATGCTGAAGGTCTGGATGGAAGCCAGACCTTGGGTAGAAGAGTCATAAATCCTTTATGGCCTGCCAATCTCTGTACTTGATACATTCCAATCCCCTGCCCAGAATAATGGGGAAAAGTATACAGATGATGTTTATGAAAGTCCTGAGCCAAACCTTAAAGGAGGTATGGAAAAGGCAAGCAAGAAGAAAAGACATGAGATTGGGAAGCACAGAGACAATATGAACTTGGTTTGCTTTGACGTTTCTCAGGTCTAGGTCAATTCTGACTTAGGTTATTTCCACTCAGCGTGGAAAACATCCATTTCATGCCAATGCACTCTAAATAGTCCTTTAATTTGGAGTTTAGTTACGATAACCTCCAATGGTTTTAGTTATATTAGAGAATTTTAAAGTTTAGTAGTCATGACTGTATTCCAGAAAATGAAACGACATTAAGACAATAATATTACAAGAAAAGCAGTTTTCTGTAACCTCTGGTTTCTTCCTTTCTTGTTATATTTACTATGAATAAAGTATATTCTTTGGGCATAAAACAAATTACAGTTCATCAGGGCTTAAGAACGTTTGGCATGGCTCTTCCGAGTATGTGCAGATCATTCTAAAATGCCCACTACTATCATTATTGCCCCTGAATGCAGCGCTTAGAATCAAGACACAGTTCTAAGATGCCTCATAAATTCCTTTATGCCACTGAATATTCTCATGCTCCCTCTACCTGCAGCTCAGACAGACCCAAGTCCCTGGGAATGAGTTCTTGTCCATCTTCTAAAGAAGCAAGACAGGGAGAGGTCAGACCCACATGGAAATGTCAGTGAACCAATGCTAGGATTTTTTTCCTAACAGACTGGTGGACTTAAAGCCCCTATCATTTAGAGTGAGCTTCAAGGTTCTCCTTTAATTTAACAGCTTACCCACTTCTAATACAAAGTTGGTATTCCTTAGGTCATCATTACCTACCTGGTTATGCACATGACAATAGCTACTATAATGGCGATCTGTACAGCTCCAATAATTGCTGCAATGAGAACATGAGTAAGCTTTTGCCTGCTTGGCACTACATAGAGAATACTAAAGT